TATGTGTGTGTAAGAGAGAAAGAGAGGGAGGGAGGGAGGGAGGGAGGGAGAGAGAGAAAGAGAGAGAAGGGGGTAGGGAGGGATGGTGAAAGAGAGAAAGAGAGAGAGAGAGAGTGGGGGGTAGAGGGAAGGAGAGAGAGAGAGAGAGGTGGGGGGAGTTTGTGTATGTGTGTGTAAGAGAGAAAGAGAGAGAGAGTTAGGTTGTGTGTGTACGTGAACATTGCTATATAGTAAACAGAAATCAACTAAGGATTTGTCACATGGTGTGAGTCCATTTTTGGCTGCTGAAAGAGTAACGGACATAGATTATTGGAATTTTTTATTGTCAAATCAAAAATACATAATGCGCACAGACGGAAGGACTTAATCTCATTCATACCCATATCTATCTATCTATCAATCTTCCTATTGATATCTATCTATCTATCTACACACACACGCACAAATATATGTGTGTGTGTGTGTGTGTGTGTGTGTGTGTGTGTGTGTGTTTGTGTGTGACCTCGAACCTAGGTCACTAATGGTATGAAACCAGAGGGCCAGTTCAATATAGTTGGTTTAGTACTGGCTCTCTGGTTTCATGCCAGGAGTGACCTAGGTTCGAGGCCCAGTCAGGGAGGATTGTTATATATGCTATATACATATATATATATATATATATATATATATATATATATATATATATATATATATATATATATAGATAGATAGATAGATAGATAGATAGATATATATTACATATATAGATAGATATAGATATAGACAGATATCTATATACACACAGTTTCTTTTTTATATGACTCACCCTTTCTATATTATTTCAAATATTTACAAAAACTAATAGACTAATTGATAATATTGTTTGTATGTTTGCTTACATATGAGATCAGAGACGTTCCATAAACTAAATACACATGTTTAGTTATATTGAGATACTGTATTGTACATATATGAATCTGTATGTACACACTTACATACACACAAACGTACAAACTGGCAATACACGCTTACATACAGACGAACAGATAGATAGATTCCCCGAGAGAAATAGATAGAGAGATGAACAGACCCCACATACACACAAAAATGATAAATACAGACACACACATCTATGGATATTTATAGAGATAGATAGATAAATAGATAGATATACGCACACACGCAAGCATAGTCTATATTTATGTTCGTTTGTATCAATACCGTAAATAAACACAGAATCTATTTCCATCTGACGCATTGATTTTCATTGATTCTGATATATGGCTGCATTTATTTCTGTCTATATATGTACACGTTGTTATGTATACACGAGGGTAGTTTTTTTCCGTTATTCATTTTATTTGTTTGTTTGTTCTTAGTCCTGTTTAAACTTAATTTATCTTTGTTTTAGTTGATGTTTTAATGTTTATGACGATGTTTGCTTTAGTTATTTGCAACTGTTATGTTTATTTTCACGATCGTAGATTTATGTATCTGTTCATTCAGCTATTTAGTTGTCTTTTATTGCAATCAACTATGTATGTATTTGATTTTAAAATATCCGTTTATGTTCAGCATGTATCATCTCATGTGATAAATGTTCGAAACATACTACCACGCACACATACTCACAGAATTAACTTCATTCTCATAATTATAGGACAAACACACACACACACACACACACACATACACACACACACACACACACACACACACACACACACACACACACACACACACACACACACACACACACACACACACACATACACAAATACAAACAAACACACAATCATTTCTACATACCTACATCCACAAACACACAATCGCCTCCACACTATCCACCCGCAAACAAACAAACAACCATTATCTTCGTGGCACTAATTCCATTTTCCTCTCCCCCCCTTTCCCCTTTCTCCCCCCCCCCCCTTCTCTCTCCCACAGACTCAGATAAGAAGGACGGTGGTTTGAAAGCAGGAGCACAGGTCGCGCGCGGACGTTTTCGCCACGAACCCTACCGCCGCCTGCCCGTGAACGTTCCAGCCTAAACGTTTGTCGGGGGTCACCTTACAAAGTACATGTTTCGTGCTCTTAGCGTGTGTTGAAGCGGCTGGGCTGGGGAGAGCTAGCTGGTTGGTCGGCTCCGAGGAAGAGGAAGAGGAGGTGGTGCTGAGTTTGGTGTTGTGAGATATGGTGCGTCGAGAGGCGTTTTGTGTTTTTTTTTTTCGTTTTATTTTTTTTGGAAGAGGAAGAGGAAGAAATCAAGGATAGAGTAGGTGGAGAAGGAGGAAGATGAGATGAAGAGATGTGAGAGAGAGAGAGAGAAAAAAAGAAAGAAACTTGAGATAAAAGAAAATATGTTTTTTTAATGGAAAAAAAGAAGGAAAAAAATAATCTTTTGGCTTGTAGAAAACTGGAAGTGATGCTTCATTTTCCTTGGAGAAGAAGAAAAAAAAGAAGAAAAGTTGGATATAGATGTTTGTGCCGCCATTCTCACGAAAATCAGTGGATAAGAAGATATATTATCATTTCGTTTAGATATTTCTTAAAGTTGTATCTACTCCAGCTGTGAAGAAAAGGGAAAATGTTATGACTCGTGTCGCATGACGCTGAAATGCTACTGATAAAGAATGCTTTCAAGCAGTGCAGGAAGTTTCTCGCTGTGTGTTTTTTTCTGTGCTTGTTGGTCAAAAGAAAAGTTGTATTTGAGTGTCTGTTGGAGTGCTTGTCAAATGCACTCAGACATTGTGAAGGAAAGTTAGATATAAGTATATATAAATAACTTGCTTTTCTATATATATATACTAAACGTTATATATACACACACACATATATATATATTTATAGTTTATGAAGCCATGCACGAGGGAAAGGAGTTTTAGAGAGTTTGAGTTCGTTGTCTCTCCAAGCAAAGAGCGAATTGATATCGGTTTAGGTGTGGTTTCTTTGAGGGGGGGCGTGACGCAAGCACCCCCAGGTTTATCAAAGCCCAAAGCCGACCCCTCACTTATCTTCCCTCCCCCCCACCCCCACCTCCGTAATCAAGACCCCTCTCCCCCCCCCCAATTCACAAATCTGGGGGGGTGAATACCGGGACTCCCCCCACCCCTCCCGTCTCCCCCCCTCTAACCGACCCCCCTCCCCTCCCCACCCAGTCTCCTTCACCTGGTGACTTTGTGCTTTTGCCCGTGTTAAGCAGAAGCGAATCGTTGTAGCAGTAAGGTACATATGCCAGTATTTCTCCTCGGTATTGTGACTCTTAGTAAAAACAAAAACAAAAACAAAAAATATAAAAAATAAGCCAAAAAAAAAAAATACTTTTTGATGTATTATTTGAATAACGGCATGGTGTAACGTCAAGAAAATCTCCCTGCCCCCTTCCCCCCCCCCCTCACCCCTGCCTCTACCCCCGTACCTAGTCTCCCTCCTCCTCCCCCTACCCCCCGCTCCTCTTATTCCCATCTCAGCAGAAAACGAAAAAAAATGAACAACAAAATACAGACACGTGATACCCCTCCCCCCCCCCCTCCCTCCCTTCCCTATTGAAATATTCCAAAAAGGTGTTTTAAGAATGAAGATCCTTTATTTATATATATAGAACAAAACAAAAAATAATAATTACAAAATCATTCCTTGAGGTACCAACACCTCACCCCCCCCCCCTTTCCATAACCTCACCCCCTCATCCCATCCCCCTCAATCTTTTTTTTTTTTTTTTTTTTTTTTTTGAACAGGTAAAACTTTTAACGACTCGGATCTTTTAAAAAACGAAAAAAAAGAAATGGATACATATCGACAACCGTATTGTAAGTTATTATTTTGTCTAAAAGATACCCACTTGGCAGAACAAAGAGGAAGGGAATTCACAAGATATCAACCCGTCTCTCCCTCGTCTCTCGCTGATAAGAAGAGATAGCTATTGTTAATGACACGTTGTTATCAGCTGCGTATTATTTATAAATGTGTTGACTTGCAAATGCCGTTTTAGAGTTCTATATATTTCTATCTATTGTAATATAGTATAAAAGAGAGGATTGTAGACTGTGCTATATCTATGTACAGTCTATATAGATTAACAGTATATATATATGATTTTTTTTTCTTTTTTTTTTGGTAATAATACTGTACAAGACTGATAGTTAATGATAGTATAGTGTAGTGTGTCAACTAACAAGACGATTTTGTTGGAGAGAAAGAATGAAGAGAAGAAAAAGCAGGGGTAGAGAAAGCTGGGAGCAATTTGTAAATAGTAATTATCGGGGAAGCTGATTTTTATCTCCGAGAGGCAGATGCACGCACTCAAGCAAGATGCTGTGGTAAGTGCGTGTGTTTGTGTTATTATTATTATTATTATTATTATTATTATTATTATTATTTCGTATTACATTTTTTGTGCTTTTTGAGCTTCTAAGTAAGTGAGTCGGAGTTAGTTTGGCGACGATGATATTGATGATTGAAGATGATTTTATGATCAAAAATGATGTTGACGAATTAAACATATCGAAATGTAGAAGACATAGTTAGAGTTGTAGAATTAACTAGATTTGAATTTGATACTTCTCACATTGTAACTGAATTAAATATTGCCTTTACTCCCCCCCCTCCACCCTCCCACCCTCCCTCCCTCCCTTCCCTCCCTCTCCCACCCCCACATACCTTTCGAGCAAAGCAAAATGACCTCAGTTAAAGTACAGTCACATTCTCAATCTCCGAACTTTATTGAAGGAGTGAAGAAGTGAACATTCGCGAGGGAAAAGGAACTCCCAAGAACAACTTTGAAGAACAAATGAGAACATGAGGAACATTATGGTGAACGGGACGTCGATGTCCGTCTCTTTTTTGCCCCCTTATACTCCTGGCGACGCAGTATAAGGGGGGGGCATCAGTGCGGCCTGGCCCTGCGGCGCCGACGCTGGCCGCGTGTGTACATAAGTATTGTTTATAAATATTTTGCCTTATTTTTATTGTATATTGCCGAGCTATTGAGAAGTTTTGGTGGGTGAAAATGCCAACTGTTA